GGTTTCCAAGGCAGTATCTCTATGGAAGTGGATCACCCAGTCTTCCTTCCAAAATTGAATATTGAATATGTCTAAAATTTGAGGAATGTTACCTCAAATAAAAACCAGTATTTTTCCCTCTTTCATTTACATTTACAATTGTATTACCAAAAATATCACTAAAAGACATACCATATACTTACCAAACCAAACCCACTGCCAACAAATTGAATCTGGCTCAAAGCAACCCCCATAGGGTTTCCAAGTCTATAAGTCTTTATAGAAGCAGACTGCCTTATCGCTCTCTTGTGGAGCAGCTGGTGAGTTCAACCTGCTCATCTTTTGGGTTAGCAGCCCAATGTCTTAGCCACAGTACCACTAGAGCTCCTTACATACTTACCAGTATCATAAAAACCCTTAACCAAATTCACTGCCATCAGTTCAATTCTCACTCGTATTGACTCTGTGTGACAGAGAAGAACTGCCCCATGGGGTTTCCAAGGCTGTAAATCCTTATGGAAGCAGACTGCTTCATCTTGCTCTTGCAGAATGGCTGCTAGGTTTGAACCACTGAACTTTTGGGTTAACAGTCAAACACTTTGATCACTGTTCAAGCAGAACTCCTTGGTATGGTAAGGCACTGATTGGTATTTACCAAAGGCCCACCAAAGATTATAGTAGCAGAATGTCTAAGCCTGAATTTGCTTTATATGTGTTAGGTAGTTTCAGGAAACTTATTTCAAGTTAAGTAATTTTCATTTACTGTTTAGAACAGTTGATTATGTATTTAACAATGTTCAAAGGGGAAGTACATTATAAATAATAGCAGTGATGGTAAGAATAGTTCTTACAGATTTCTTCTCATCTTCGTTTTTTAAAAATTATTTTCATAAAAAAAAGTGATCAAGGTTTACATGACTTATCCTTCCACGTGTATTTCTAAGGTTGAAGAACCTCAGAATGAAACTCGTTATGATCCTGTTAATTATCAAGGGTGATTGTGTACAGTATGTAAGTTCCTTCCTGTATGTGGATTAAGGTGGCAGCGATGGCATACCTATGTCTAGATTTTTACTATTTCTCAAACAATGTAGTATATGAAATTATGAAATACAGTAACTGTGGAAGTTAACTTTGTGTGCAAACTTGGCTGGGC